ACCCAGGCCGTGTCCTCTGACCGCCGAGGGCCGCGGCCTGGCAGGCCCTGTGCCAGGGAACCAGGTCTGAGCAGCACGACCAGCACCAAGGTGCACAGACAACAGGCGAGCAGACAGGCGGAGGGGACAGAGGCGGCTATCCCTGGGCCATCCTCAGAGGAACACCTGAGAAACGCTGCCCGTCCTCACGGGCCCAGGCCCTCAGTTCGCTGGGGTGGGGGACGGGGGCGGGGGGGCACTCAGGGAAAGGAGGGCGAGGGGCCTGTGGGCTGCAGAGACCCGCAGTGTGCCGTGTGCAAGGAGGAGGTGGGCGGGCCCTGGGGTGGGAGGTCAGTGTGCTGGAGGGTGGCCAGGCCAGTGACTACGGCAGAGACGAGGTCACACAGGAAGAGCCGTGTGGGCCGCAGGGGTGAGGGGGTGAGGGAGGGAGGTGGGGAGGCAGGTGGGGTCCGGGACCCGTTTGCGCCCAGGAAGAATGGAGGACCTTCACGCTCACTGGGCGTGACGAGGGAGAGAAGAGTCCAGATGACCGCGGGGCTGTGGCCAGCGGGGCTGGGCGAACCACGGTGCTCCTTTTGGATGAGGAGCAGGACGGGAGTGTGGCGGAGCCTGGCCTGCCACTGGGTGTCAGGGCGGGGCCGCCAGGAGGTGGAGATCAGCAGAGCAGCCTGGGGCCTGAGCCCGGGCACCTGAGGGCCAGGCGTGGAGGCCAGGCAGTGGGGCAGGTGGACGTGAACAGAAGCCCACGGGGCCGCTGGAAACTGGGTTCAGGAAGGGCCCACATGTGGGAGATGGCGACGCCCAGGAGGCCTGCTCACCATCTCAGGGCAGCCGACGTCGTGGAACCGGCAGGGCAGCGGGCACTTGCCACACGTCCTGAGGTGGCCCTGAAACTGCAAGGAGGGATGTCAGACGCGGGCTTCGCGGCCGGGCCCAGTGCACACGGGTCTCTGCCCCACCCCCCACCTCTTCACTCTCGTCTGCCCAAAACCCAACAGCCCATTTCCAAAGCCAAGATGCACACAGACACGCACACGCACACAGACACGCGCACACACGCACACACACAGAGACGCACACCCACACAGGTGCACACCCCCACACACACCCACACAGGCACACTCTCACACCCCCACACACACAGGCGCACACACAGGTGCACACTCACACATACACAGGTGCACACTCATACAGACGCAGTCACGCGCGCACACATACAAACACACACACACACACGTGCGCGCATGGTGGCCATCACCGAGGCGGGTGCAGCCTGGGCCAGTCCTCAGGACGCCGTGGGACCCGCTCCTGCGCCACAGCCTGTGGGACATAGGTGTCCGAGGCCGGGAGGGGGCACCAGACCCCCGCAGGGTGGGGCTGGCGCAGGACAGAGCCCTGACTCAGGGAGGACAGACGGACGGACGCTCCCACACGGAGCAGCCACAGGACACCTCAGAGAGGCCCCCCCTGCGCCACCACAGGGCCTGGGAGCAGCACACCCGACGCCGAGTCACCATCAGCAGCAGGAGAAACCACCACGGAGCAGAGTGAAAGGGCCAAGACACAGCGCAGCCCGACCTCAGGCTCCGACAGGAGACGGACCGGAACCGCCGAGGAGGGACAGGAGCTGCGCGACCTCCGTCAAAGGTCAGAGGAACGCCAACGGGCCGGAAGCCAACGTGCTCCACAGGCACACGGGGGAGACACGCAAACCCCACGCCCAGACACGTCTGACCCGGCACCA